ATAGGGAACATTTTGGGAAACTTCCATATTTGAGAAAAACTCAAATTTTTGGCCTCTCAAAAAATGAGGGAAATAACTACATTGGAAACTTCCTCAAAGGCTGAGGAGTTTTTCCTTAAAAACGGGAGCTTATGTTTTTTCTTTAAAAAATCAGACATTTGTTTTTACTGGGCAATGGGATGTAATCTGCTGGGGGACACGACAGTCAATTGAAAATAGATTAGTATCTCAATCAATTTTATTTACATCGATAACATTTACATTCGGTTCACGTCCAAATCGGGAATAATATGATCGTTCTTGGAATTCTAGAGGTTCACATTGGCACAGAATCTTAATTTATAGTTTGGAAAGAACAACAATAAGGAAAAATAACTGTTACAAAAAATATTTTTTCACGTTCTCTACATTTACACATTTTTATTGTAGCACATTTTAATCAAGGCATATCAATAATATTCTTTAGTGAGTGCTTTATATCGGCGAGTTTACAGAATGCAACGACGAGTGATATGTTGCCGAAATAAAACAATAAAAGTAGCACTGTCCAAATATCTTCAAAATGATACTTCCACAACAACGTTATCACGATGTTGTCGTTATCGTCGTCTTCGAGGCCTCATGTCAGACTTGAGATTCCGTTCCTCATGAGAATTATGTATCTTACTGTTTGGAATACCAGATTATTGAATATAGCCGCCAGAGAGGACCCGGTGGCAGATGGAGTCATGTACATGAGGGAAATTTCCGCTTTTCGGGGAACGAGTCATCCCGAACGGCAATCAGAGTCCCCCGCGCGGTACGTGTGCGGTGCCGTCGTTTCACAAGCAATGCCTCAGCGGTTCCTCTGCCTAGTAAGAACGACAGGAGTCAAGCAGTTGGCGGACGGCTGGTGCACCGCGACGGGTTTAGTGGCCTGTATCTTGGACACAGGTCAGGGGGCGCGGGGCGAGCTCGGCAGGCCGACGCGAGGCTAGAGCCAGGTCTGCACCCTCGCCTGCCGGTTGCCGGCTCGCTGGTCCTCATGTCAGGAGGGCGGCTGACGCCACCGAACGGGACCTGGGTGCACCTGCCCCGAGCCGGCCGCCGCGCCGCTGAAGTGGTGGGGATCCACCCCGGCCAGGGTCAACTGAGTCAGCGCCGACCCTGCGGTACACAAAAGGGCAATGAGACCACTCATAGAACATGAAAAGAAAGCGAAACTTTCAATTTTCTTAATGCCATAAAGAATAGACCCTGCAAATGCGGCGAACAATCGATTCAATTAATCAGTTTCGAAAAGTTAAGTGTGCTAGCTTAGCTCCGTTGACGCGAATGGATGTATCCCCGCAAAAAAAGTTTGCAACTGCTTAACACTTGAAAGTGTACAACAGCAAGTTAAATACTTGCAAGTGTGTCGTGCAACTATTAGTTGTACACTCGCAAGTCGCAAGTGCTTAACTCGGTAGGTGTGCACTTCCTGAGAGTAAACGCTCCGTGTAGGAAGTGCTCAACAGAGGAGTTGCACACTTGCAAGTGAACACCTACCAAGTTGAATACTTGCAAATGTCCAACTGTGTTGCACACTTGCTAGTATTAAAGTTGCAGTTACACACTTACAAGTGTTAAGAAGTTGCACGCACTTAGTTCATCAGTGTAGACAAGAAAATTATTCTTAAATCGTGGACTTGGAAATAGGTAAAATAGAGTTCTTTTAAACCTAACACAATTGTTCGCTATGGTGGGACATCGAAACCGTAATTTGGCCCACAGCCGTGAATCGTAAAACAACTAGGGAAAAATTTACAACAGGGTCACCCTTTTCCTGAGATTTTTATTATTATTACATTTAGATACGATCCGTGGTCTAAATACAGGCGTGCTGTGAAAAGCCATGCGCACCACAATAAAGCTCAGTCACAAATCATCGAGCAGAAAAGTAAAGAATTCCGAAAGAGCAGAGAGGGGTTTGTGTGATTAACTACACGCAGGCAAGAAACAAAAAAATAAAAGGACGCTCCTGGGGAGTACCTGATGAGGCGTGCCTGCTCGACCCGGACGGACACTCACCCTCAGACCATGTCCTCGGTCACCTTGCCCCAGTCGTCCTCGTCGTCCGTGATCAGCTCCACCTGCACGCCGTCCTCGTCGTCGTCCTCCTCGACGCTGCTCGACGTGACCCTGGCGACGCGCGACGGCCGGCGCGACTGGCCGGGCACGTGCACGCCGACGACGAAGGCCGCCGACTCGGTGGCCACGGCGAGGCCGCGCACCAGGTCGGGCGCGTTGCTGCGGAGCGCCAGGAGCCGCGGCGTGGAGCCTGCTGGGCGGGGCCGGCCCGGGGCCGCGGGGAGGACGGAGCAACCAGAGTAAAGCAGAGCGAGGGGGAAGCGGGGACAGAGCATGCGGCAGTCAAGGCTACGCGTAGCGCTAGGGGCTCCCCGTCAACGGGAGTCGACGGTCCCGAGTCCAAAAAGTGCACCCCCACGCGCGGCCGGGGTGGCCCGGGCTAGCGAGCGCACTTCTTCTCAATGAAACACGGGACAATTTGTTGTCCATTGCGAGAGCATCTCCAAAGATGTAATTATTGAACCCGAATCTGTCACAGTTTCGGTTATTATTTCACCTTGAAAGATGCGCTCACAAATACATTTTTCAATGGACAAAAATCTCCCCTGTCATTTAGAATGGAAAGTGCCGATTAAGTGCTTTAGAATATTTAGAATTTGTTTCCGTGGGGTGGTGTTGGTAAACATGCATAAATAAATGAAAGAAATACATATAAATAGAAGGGACAACTTTTCGAAAGCGGGAGGCCGCTTCTGATGCCACCACAAACATGTTCTCATTTGCAGAAAAAAGGTTCTTTTCAAAAAGAAAAAAAAGCAATTTCCAAAACAACAAAAAGTGATTAATGGGGGAAGGGGGGGGGGTAGCATCTAGAAACAAGCACTACTTGCGTACTCGTGAGCCTGACGAGGTCTCACCGTTGCGCACGATGCGAGTGTGGTGGTCTGGCGAGCCGGACACGGAGTACCTCGAGGTGACGGCCTCCCGCCGGGACAGCGCCGCCTGCGGCCTGCGCACGCACGGGCACCACCAGAAGAAGGCCTGGAAGCCGCGCCGGAACCTGCAAGCAGAACGACATGATCAGGGGGAGGATAGAGGCACGGTATGTGGACTAGGGCACATTGAAAAACACCTTTTTTCGATTTTGATATCGGCTCGGGTGGATAAATGTTCTATCCCATAACACTATTAACGGTGTGAAATATTATTTCGATCGGATAAAATCTTCAGCCTCCACAGCGGCCTCAAAGTTTAGCATGTAGCTCTTATGGGAAAAAAGCCCCAAAACTGATTTTTTTAAAAATGAGGGTTCCTGTTGAAAATTTCGCTTTTTTAATTAGTAGAAATGCAATCTACGCGTAAAAACGCTTCTGGAGATGTGCCACTCGTGGCCTTTGATTTCATATGTACCCAGCTTGTATGGCCAAAAATTGCAATTTTGACGCAAATTCAGCCTTTTTGACAGCACATTGGTCATAAAGGATGGGTGCTCATATGACAAGTGGCACGTCTCCGGAAGCGTTTTTACGCGTAGATTGCATTTCTACTAATTAAAACAGCGAAATTTTCAACAGGAACCCTCATTTTTTAAAAATCAGTTTTGGGGCTTTTTTCCCATAAGAGCTCCATGCTAAACTTTGAGGCCGCTGTGGAGGCTGAAGATTCAATCCGATCGAAATGAGATTTTACACCGTTAATAGTGTTATGGGATAGAACATTTATCCACCCGAGCCGATATCAAAATCGAAAAAAGGTGTTTTTCAATGTGCCCTAATGTGGACGGAGGTGCACACTGGAAAAACAACGGGTGTACGAACGTCGCTCACCCGCAGGTGAGTAAACAATTACACACACCTTGGATTTCCAGGGTAGCGGGACCTCAA